CATTGTTGGAGAGAAGTCACTTATCCTAAGCCCACATACATATTTTACTCTAGAGCTTGGAACGTGCTATAGCGACTGGTGATCCATTTCCTTGTCTGGATGCTCTCGTGCTTCGCGACATGTTTCTGCCTCGTTCAGGATGGTCTCCTGATCTGGCTTCATCTGGTCTCACCACTTGTGAATTTCCTCTTACCGATGAGTCTAGCGGCACTTCTTCCCAGTTTCAAGGTCTCCGCACTTGGTCCGAACGTTGGCTTCAGACCTCAAGGCCTAGCACTTTGGAGAACCGGTGGACCGTCGTGCTGACCCCATCAAGTCAAACTGGTGACCCAATTAAGTGAGTCATTGATATCCTTTATATCCACATCTGAGTCTGTCTTAATGATATTTAGACCAATGACATTTTAAATTCCACTCGATCTCAAAATACTTCCAAGAATTTATTCAACTTTAAGCACTTTGTGACTCACAATTAGTTGAATCCTTGGATTAAATTTAGGCCTAACTTTATTCTATGTTGCAGTAAATAAACTAGCTCGAAAATGGAGAGGGAAGGAATGATAATATTTCGATTCACAACGAGTGGGAATGAGTCAATAACCATCGTTTTAATATATGTAATTATGCCTTGAATTTTTAATAGTCGCATTCAGACTGCTTCCTCTTTGCCGTGCTCAACTCTGAGCCTTGCTGATATACCATCTCCTCTTTGCGGTAATGTCTCATATCACGGACCTGAAGCTTTACTCGACTCCTACGTAACTCGTGATTGGCGCCGCGTCAGTCTGCTTCTTTGTCTAGCTGAGCTTCTTTCTGCTAGGCGCTTAGGCTATCCTCCCCTTTCCCCTGCCGGCGTCGGCCTCGGTGCTTCCGTGCGGGAGGTGACACATGTTAATCCAGCGCCCACAGTGCGCACCGCCGATTTGCCCATCAAGCCATTTGATGTATTCGTAAGTAGCAGCCTCATTTCCTCTAAACTATTCGTTCACTCTACGCTGTGATTAATATTTCATTTCATTTTTATTATAAACAGGCCATCTGAGAAGTTTCTTTTCGGAATAATGATTATAATACAGTAAAAGCAATAGTTACTACTAATCCAAATACTGGTGAAATCAGATACCTGCTGTACGTAGTGCATCTATTTTAACTTATGCTGTAAGTTTTTT